AACGGTGTCTGTAACAGTGTTCATATAAGCAGCAAGATTGAAAGCCTGAGGGAAAGCGTAGTCTCCAGAATTTAAAAAGTTTCCAGACCCTGTAGGATGGTGAGTGTAGGTTGAGACTGGTCATGAGGCATTTGGAAATTAGGTAAAAGGTTTCCTTCCACTTACCCACTACATCAAGGAAGACAAAGTGAATCCAGACTTATGAGGGCCCTGGAAAGACTCTACTGGATACCCTCACATGATATTTTTGAATATTGTCACACTGGAACCCGGATATTTTTGGGGAAAACCTAGGGCTTGAAAGAGCCCATGACATCAGTTTATTTTTTTTGATCAATTTCAAAATGATTGGGGTCTAAAGCTTGTTATTCAAGTAAAATCTTGGCTGCCAGCAAGTGTAATTTCAGGGAATTTTACTGAAGTGACACTTCAGAATAAAAATTTTCACATTTACAGTTTGTTTGGCATTGTGCACAGGGTTTACCTGTGGTGGAGAGAGGGCAGAGGTTTTTGATGAAAAACAGGAATTATTATTGAAACTAGAACCAGAACTGACAAAGAAAAATACAAAAATCAATAAGAGAGAAATAAACAAAAGCAAGAGAAAGTAAAAATTAGAGAGAAATAGAAATTTACCACGAGTAGAGTTGTCTTTTGATTTAGACAGAACAGAGAGACTGAAATAGAGTAGATCAAACAAGGTCAGGATCCAAGTGGGTTGGGTCGACCCACCGGTGTAAGACTCAAAAGTGGTTGTGAGAACCCTTTTGCTGAATGGAAAAGTCTATGGTGGAGTTGCAAACTCTGCCCTTCTGTACTATCAGATAACAAGACCCACCGCTTAGCTTGGCAAGTTTTAATCAAGTGATAGGGGTGGTTGGTTTCGAGATTTCTTTGTTTGATCTAGAGATGGTCGGTCCGCATCCGGATACCCGTTCGGATGCGGATATCCGATGGCAATTTCAGCGAAATTGCACATCCGCATCCGCACCCGCACCCGCTAGCGGGTATCCGTCGGCCGCAGCGGGTATCCGAGCGGGTATCCTCAGATACCCGCCCTCTAAAGGGCCGGCGACGGACCGGCTGGAAGGGTTTCCTTCCAGTCGGCGAGGTACTTGTACCTCGTCGACTGGAAGGGTTTCCTTCCAGCCGGCGAGGCACTTGACAGATACCCTTCGACCATCTCTAGTTTGATCACAGTTTAATGGTGTAAGAATTGAGTTTCTGAGAGTATGAGAGTGAGTTTAGTGTGTATTACAAGTGTAAGGGTTGTTATTGGGTGTTATAAAGGTTGTTACAGTATGTAATGGTAATGGTATGGTATGTAATGGTAGGGGGTATGTGATTTGTGGATACTAAACTGAGTGGAAAAACAACTGGGAGGAGAGCCTCCTGAAATAGACAAGAGTGAGTGATTTTGGCTCCAAGGGAGCAAGAGAATGAGAGATTTTAGCTGGTCAGAGCTGTAAAATGAGGTGTTTTGGCTGGTTGTACAGCCTACATGATGTAATTTGAGATGTTTGAGATAGAAAAAGCAGTGTACATGAGGGGTTTGTGCTAGCCTAGCAATCTGAATGATGTCATACAGAGTGCATGAGGTATTTCAACTAGAATGGCAAGCTTCAGGAAGATTATCACATGACCTATCAAGCTGCGCACATGAGCTGTACACATGACCTGACAAGCTGTGTAAGCTGTGCACCTGTAAGAAGATTATGATGTCATCTGTTTAACTGTGTCCTGTAGTGAAGTGTTTGTGTAATTTGTGTTGTGTAGTTGTCCTGTGTAGTTGATTGAGTGTAATTGAGTGTTGTACATGTCTCAAGGTGTGTAACATCCATACCAGTAGATTTACAGAGATGCCTCCAGTGGTGACCATGGGTGAAATGGGCCCTAGAGGCCATTTCTTAAGTCCAAATAAGTGTTGAAGTGAGAGGAAATATAAGAAAAAATGATGAAGAAAAGAATAAAAAAGAAATAATCAAAAACTTTGAATTTTTTACACATTCAGCTACCACACCGGGTCGCGGTGTGGAACTCCTATTGTGCCAGGCGGTAGGCAGTTGCTTGAAGGGATGGTGCTTTGAGGGCTGCCTTCAAGTGGGGTCTGGATAAATTGAGCTGTGATCTGAACAAAAAAAAAGGGTTGGGGTTGGTTGGTTTTCTGAGAGGAGACAACAGAAATTGAGTTCTGTGGCGGTTGTTGAGTCTGAGTGATTTTGAGGATGTGTATGAGGATCAGAAGTATGAATGATAAGAAGATCAATAAGATTTGATGGGTCTATCTTGTATCAGATCAGAGTGCCCTTCCCCATCATCTCAGTTCAAACTGAACTTTGACTCTGGGGAGTGACATGTCACAGACATGTCATCACATCCCTAACTACAACACAACTCAACCAAAAAACAAAAACAAGACCACACTACACAACACAACACATCACATCACATCACACACAACACATCACATCACATCACATCACAACACAGAACAGAACAAGACAGAACAGAACAGAACAAAACCAAACAAACAAGAGTGAAATAAACCAACATACTAAGATGTCTTAGGACCAAGAAAATTAAACAAGAATGTCTGCTGAGTAGGTGATTTGAAAAAGATAATAAAGAATGATAAAATGATAAAATAACAATAAAATCAAGATGAATGAAAAATAATATGAAGAGTAAATAATAAGAGGAAATGGAATAAAATAATGAAATGAGGAAACCGTTGGACTGAGTGGGGATTTGAGGTGATAATATTGAAATCTTGAGTCTTGAGGATATTGAAAATTTGAAAATTGAATTCTGAAATTGGACCTTGAGGGGGCCCGTACCGTTTAGAACTCAGGATGTAAACGGGTCGGGTTCGGGCCCAAAAACAGTGCCCAAACCCGACCCGACACCTATGTCGGGTTGGGTCGGGTCGGGTCAAACTTGAATATGTGCTGCCCAGACCCGAACCCGTCTTGGGACTTTTCGGGTTCGGGTCGGCAGTTTGCATGCCGGGTTCGGGCCGACCCGACTGTTTTAGCCTTTGTAGAGCAACTCTGACAAAAACTGACCTGCCCGACTATCAAAACACCTGCCCGAACCCGACCCGCTAAGCTTCCGGGTCGGGTTCGGGTCATGTGATTTTCTCACAAAGTCTGCCCAAACCCGACCCATGACCCGTCGGGTCTCGGGTCGGCTTCGGGTCGACCCGACCCATTTACACCCTGATTTAGAACACCACAACGGGGCAGGTTTGAGCAGGCTAGGGTTGGAAATTGACCCAACCAGGATTCAACCCGACGGGTTGGCGGGGCGGGTATGATCAGGACAGATTGTATTTGGGTCGGCTTGAGATTGACCGACTGAGCTGATTGAAAGCAATTAACTGATTATTTGCTGGGTTGACCCGGACCCAACCCAAGACCCAACCTGACCCAACCCGAGGCACTGTGTATTTGGGCCGGATTTGGTCAACATTTTACCATTTTTGCCCCAACCTGCCCCGCCCCAAGAATTTGGCAGGTCGGGTTTGGTCACCATTTTTTGACCCAAACCCAACCCATTTGGAACCTGAAAACAAGGACAAGTAGTAAACACTATTTTGAGATAAGGAAGATAAAAAGAAAGGTTAATATTGATCGATCCAGTATGAAGAGACTGGAATATATTTTTCTCACCAAATTGGCAGAAGCCAAGTGAATATTTCAAGAGAGAGAGAGAGTCGGCGGAATGAGAATGAGAGATGGTTGAATAGACGTTGATAGGATGTGGAGTCTTTGGCAATGAGATTGAACGATTAGAGAGAAGAGGGAAAGAAGATAGAGAACAAGAGAGAAGAAAAAGCAAAGTCGGAGAAGAATGATGAGGGGAATTGTTGAAGAGGGTTGATAGAAGTTGGTGAGAGAGTTGAAGGAAGTAGTCGAGCAGTTTTAGTTTTAAGGATTTGAGAGGAGTGTGTCGAGGGTTAGATTGTTGGAGACTGCTGAGGAGAAAGAGGTCGAGGAAGTGAAGGATGATGTGATATTTATACTTCATTGAGGACCGGTTCAACTTGTGGTTGAGGGACGGGAATAGTTTGACTTGTGGTTGGTGGTGTGTCTGAGTAGGGTTGTCTCCATGGTGTTTGAGTTGAGTCAGTGTAGGAAGAAGGAAAGGACAAGGCGTTGGAGACAAGGATGAGGCGTTGTTTTAGGAAGACATTTGGTTGTGAGTAGGGAGAGAGAGAGACAAGTGAGAGAGGTGAGGAAAGAATTGAACCGAGCAGAGAGAGCGAGGCGAGCGGAGAAAGAAAAAAAGAAAAGAGGGGAAAATAGAGAAGGGAGCTATTTGAGGGAGCAAATTGGGGAATTTCCAACAGTTTTGAATCTTGAGAATATTCTGGTTGCTTGTATTGTTGGCCATAGCCCCTAGTTTCTAAAATGGGAGCAGGTGGGGGGGGGGGGGGAAGACCACAACAGAGCAGCTGAAGAGAGAAGAATGTTAACAGACTGATTGAGAGGGTTAAGTAAGGGTTTCAGGGTATAAACCCCCTTATTTATTTATTTTTCTTGTTGTTGTTGTTGAATATGATAGTCTCTGGTGGAACCAACTCTTTGACTGCAAGGCTTTCCAAGGGATGAAGATTTATGTGTGAATGAAAGCTACAGATCTGCCTATGATGTTCTTTTTGGTCTGCTTTGAAACATGGTTTTGTGTTTTTAAGCCTGTAAGGAATTGAGTGCTTTGTATTTCTCCAGGATGAAGGTGTCCAGGGGTGTCTTATATTTGAGTTTGGGCCGGGCAGTAGTTGCAATTCCAGCCCGCCCGGAGACTCATCTGAGACGCGACATGAGTTGTTTTTTTTTTGTTGCGACGCGACGCGCCGCTAACTTACATACGATTCGCTCTACATGGTGCTTGTTGTTTTGAGGCAGTCCCACTGCCAAGTCATACGCTGGAAGATCCAAGTCCCATCTACTCACTAATCCTGCATTCTTCCCTTCTTTTCTTTCTCGCTCGCCCAGCCCATGATGATGAACCTCGACTCCCACTCATCCAACTCAGTAGAACAGCCACCCTCATCAGCAAAACTGAAGCTGTCGACGATTGCTGCCAAACTGATCACTGGCGTACACCAAGTACCCCCTGAGGTTGCCCGTTCACGCTGGAACTCCAACCCACTCCAGAAGAACACCAACAACAACAACAGCAACAGCAGCAGCAGCGACCGTCAGCCGAGTCCAGCAGGCTATCATCATCATCATCATCATCAAATCAACCTAGACCCTCCCAAGCCATTCTCTGATCACTCCCGCAGTGTCACTGCCTCTGTCTTCACTGCTGCCAGACAGGAGCGCGTTGCTCAGCGTAACCACCATCATCCTCACTCGCAAGCTGCCTCTAACCCTAGTAGGCCACTCTCAACCCACCAGAACCCAGCCAATAACCCCAACCAGCAGATCTACCACCACCGCTCTCATACTCAGTTCGATATCATCAACCCTCCCCATCCACCCTTCTTCGAACCAATCCTCTCTCCCGCCCGCTCCGCAAAGAGCTCGGCCCCCGCCATCATGAACCACGCTGATGAGGACGAGGTTGAGGACCTTGCGCTGCTCCAGCTGATCCAAAACTCAAACGGACTCGCAAAGGAGAACGAGCCTCCATGTGATCGTAAGTGATCCTATCCTCGAACGGGCAATCCACTCGGTAGCTATTCTAACGAAAAAAAAAAAATAATAATAATAATGAAACCGGATTTTGTAATTTGGTACAGCTCGAACCAAGCTGTTTGATCGTCCAAAGCTTGGAAAAAACAAGCTCCCAAACTCCACGGACTCTGTCCTCCTACCCACCTCCACCCCAGCCGGCCACTATGTCCACCAGTACAGTCCCAATCACTCTCCTCACCCTCATGACCGACGTCGCACATCATCATCCGGACCATCCCCTTCCAAAACATCTAGACCTTTGAAAGCCTTACTCGACCCTCAACCTTCCTCCTCCCAGGCTAGTCCTACCAAGTCCGTCAACCCCATGCGCGATTTATACCTCTCTCAAACTGGCGACCAACATGGAAAGATCGAAAACGAGAAACAGAGAGTCGATCGAGAATTCGAAAAGCTTCTTGTGAGTAAAAAAAAAAAAATCCCCTCTTCAAAACTATCTAGTGCCAGGATTTAATTCTCTTAATCTTTGGTATACAGGATACGATGCAGATCACCGATGCGGTCCGACTGAAGATGAGTGGGCTAGACCATCCAGTGAAATCAGCGATGCTCAAGTCATCCACCTCCGCGAGTCTGATGAAGCTGATGAGTGGCCCGGAGGGGTGACGGGGCGGGCCGAACCGATCGGCCTGGCGGATGATTCGTCCAAGCAGGAGGGCTCGGCCTGGTGGGCGATGTACCTCAAGTCGCACAACTTCCGCGAACTCCAAGCCGCCGACCTCAAAAAGCTCCGCGTCGCACTCCGCACTAAACCCCCCGATTGGTCTAGAGAGTTCATCGGCTTCGGTGGCTATAGCGCCCTCCTCAAGCGACTCAAAGAGCTCCTCGAGATCGAATGGAGGTCAGTTCCTTTTTTCCCATCCCTCTTCGAATCATCTGGTTGCTCATTTCTTTCGTATTGCTTGCTCGTTCAGAGAGGAAACAACATGATGACCAAGTCTTGTACGAGATTCTGAGGTGTTTCAAAGCCTTGCTGTTAACAGATGTAAGCCCCCCCTCCCTGCTTGACCTGACCGATTAATCTTTGGATTGACCCTCTATCGATTTACAGCCAGGACGCAAGGCACTTGCATCGCGTCTCCCGGACCCGTTTATCCAGTTGACGGCACTCTTGTACTCGGAGAAGAAGCCAGGAGACCTGACGACGCGACAAGTACTAGTGGAGATCATCCAAGGCTGTTTCCAACTGGACGAGTATCTCTCATTACGACCAATGGATGGAGCCAAGCTAGACTGGGCCGCCCCGATCGCACTCGAGCCATCTCCCGGCCATCCGCTACCTCTCCAACCAGACTCTCCCCCCGAAGGCCCTCAAGAACTGCTTCCCTCGGCCCACGATCTGCTCCGTAAACTGATCATCGGCCCTCCCGATCTCAAGAAAGCGAATATCGTCGAGTTCGTCGCCGTCACCCATCGCGTTCGTCCCTTCAAGACTTTTGTCAACGAGTTCATCGGCGTCCTCATGGACTATTTCTGGTCCGTCTTGTTCCTTGACACTCATTAGAACACCTTGCTCATGCTTCCCCTTTGTGCTGTGTTCCGTAGGATTTTCTGTCATGCCGAGAACCAGTTTTGGGATCTCAAAAGCATCGACGAGGAGACGGTCGAGGCGCCCAAAGTGCCGAGTGGGATGACCGGCGGAGTAGAGTACGAAGCAATGTCATACTGCGTAAGTTTGTTTACCCCTTCATCATGCGGACGGGTTTTAATACATTTGAGGATGGCATTGACTGACACTTTGATTGGGTGTTGTTTGTGGTCAAAAGACTTGCTTGATGAAGCTCCTTAATCAAATCATCAAGACCGCCGCGAGCTCCGAACAGTCCAAGCAGATTTACCAAGACCTATTCGAGAGCGGGTTCGAGCGCTGCTTAGTAGTTGAGTCTAGCCCCGCTTCCAGCTGGCCTTCTTGTTCTATATCCCCAAAAGCTGATTCTCTGGGATTGGGTTCACAGACACTCCGGAAGAGCAGCGTCGATTACTATCCGATGGTTCATCTCGAACTCGCAAGGTTTATTTCTCTTGGAATCGCTAACCACTTCGAGTTCCCTTACAATATCCTCAAATATCTCAACGGCTATACTGGCCATCCACTTTGATTCTGACCCTCCCATTTCTTCTTTCTTTCTTTCTTTTTTTTCTGTTATACCTTAGTGTTCTATGTATCATTCTTTTTTTTTTATGGCCCGCTCTTTCTTGATTGTCTTTCCTCTCTCCTATCTCGTCCAAAAACGTGCTCTTTTCCAACGTCTCTCAATCAATCATCTATCATAACAAGGAGAGACACCCCATTTCCTCTCCAGAATTTCGCTTTTTTTTTATCAGAGAGAACAGTTTCTTCAACCCCATATTCAACTCGCTGCGTCTCATCACTCAAGAATCAAGACACAAACACTTCCAATAACTGGCACATTTTTCTTCTTTTTCTGTTTTGATCTGTACTCTCCGTCTCATTTCTATCATGTCATAATAAGCGCCAATCTATTCACATATACACATAAACACGAGTCTTCTTTCGCTTTGGGTTCCAACTCATCCTGTCATCTCCATTCCCCGATTGCAAGGATTTGTGGCCAGACCTCACCGGGAAAACGCACCCGAGAGACTCGACAAGCCATTAATGTGACACCAAGTCTTTGCTGCGCCTCGCTGGTTCTTCAGTCAGTTTGACTTGCTTGGTCATAAAGGAGAAATTGATGCTCGCATCAGAGAATGCAAATAAGGACCAGACTCTCCATCAACCAATCCATGGACCAGACGAACTTAACGCAAGCCCTCATTCCCTGCTATGGGCGGCGTTTGCATGCGAGTGGCCTCGCCACTTTCGCATTGCGCCGACGGCAGACAGAGACCCTGCGGGGCTGCCCTCCGGGCTCTCACTCGAGAGGCTTGTGGGCTCGATGCCAGACAGTTCCAATGCTCAGGGGCCCGGCTCAAATTTTGCAGCCATCAGCACCTGTGAAGTTGTGGGCCAGTAAAGTCATACATAGTGCAAACAAACCAACGCCACTTTGGCCACATTTCAATGAATCACATATGGACGACACCGGCTATAAATGATGTCGTCGGATGGCTGAGCAGAGTGGCTTGGCTCGATCGTTCTCGATCGTTCTTCATATGCGACGGCCGGGGAAAAACAAAGCCGACTTTGCTCTATGTATGTTCAAACTTGAGGAGAAAAGCTTCTTTCCAGATGCAGCAGTCCTCAACCGTCTCCGGTCACCCCCCCCCCCCCCCAAAAAGAAAAAAAAAAGTCTTGCCTTCTCACCACGATTTTCAAGCAAACACAAAGCAACCAATCAACATGCCAAGAGTATGCTTGCAGACCTCTGCAACAATAGCCCTTATTGTTGTCTTGATTCGACTTGCAGAAGCAGTAAACTACGACCCGCTAAGACCAAATTTTCGTCCGGCGCCGCCCACTCGGCCGTCTCCTCCGCAGCATTGCGGGAACGGCTTTCTTCAGAACTCCAGGGGGGATCCCACACCGCGTAAGTGTCAATAGCCATCGTCTCTCGTTCTGTTCAACTGCCAGAATGGCTACTTCAACCCTCCTCCTCCCTCTCTCAAACAGTGTGCACCAACTACGAGGACAAGAAGTTTGAGTGCGGGATCGGAAACTGTCACATATATGATGCTCATGGGAAGCAGCAGCCATGTGAGACTCCTCTTGATTGATTTATCTTATGAAAAAGCCGTACATACAGGGTGGATGGTGATGTTCTGACTTGGCACGACACACTGTTCGCTTATGTTCACGATTGTTAGATTCTACTTTGTCCTTTCATCACTGTCAAAGGATTGGAGAAAACGGGGAGGTCGAGGCATCCGACCAAACGATCCAGCCCATCAGGTTTGAGGCCGACAACAAAGCCAAAACATTAAGTAGGCCGTCGATTTCCGTCCACCCGCGCTCATCGCCCGTTTCCGAGTGCTTATGGATGAGCTCCCTTTCCTTGCTGCTCGATTATTAATTAGCGGTCATGGGCACCGAGACCGGCGTGCAGGGCGAAGGTTACTACAAATGCTCCTGGAACAATGACAAGGACCCCAACGCTAACAGGCCTTGTGAGTTCCACCGTAAGAAAAACAAAACAAACCAACAAACTAAACTGTTGACCGACTTGTCCTTCTGATATCCTTGTCCCAGGGTGTCACAGTTGTACTGCTGTCTTGGATACCTAAACTATGGTTCCATGGATCCCGTTTGTTTTACTCTGTGTCTATTCCATATCACTACCAGTGCCTGTGCCTGTGGATGACAGAGCATTTGACTTGCCAAATCAGAGTTGTGGGGTTTGGGCAAGTGGTGTCAAGCTGGTTTCAGAGATTGATCCTTAAAAACCAAAAACTGAACAAGACAAAAAAAAACACATGTTATGCTGGTCAGATGGTTCTGGATCCCCAGGAAGATAGATCAACAGGACAAGTGCAGAGGCCAAGATTCTCTCAAGAAAAGCTTTCCTTGGTGCCCCTGGGTAGAGATGGTTGCGGATAATCCGGTGCGGATATCCGCTATCCGCTGGCGGATACCCGCCAGTGCCAGGGGATATCCGCTGGCCGGTGCGGATGCCCCCTTTTCCGTGAAATCCCGGCGGATATCCAGGTATCCCCAAGGATACCCAAGGCCGGAAGGAGGAGATGGCTGGCTGGAAGGGTTTCCTTCCAGCCGGCAAGGTACATGTACCTCACCCACTAGAAGGAAACCCTTCCAGTCGGCGAGGTACATGTACCTTGTCGGCCAGAAGGAAACCCTTCCAGTCAGTGAGATACGTGTACCTCGCCGGCTGGATTAAAGGGAGGGTATTCGCGCAGATACCCACCAGCACCAGGGGATATCCGCCAGCGGTTGCAGTTGCGGATGCGGATATCAAATCCCGCTGAAATTGCGAGCGGATATCCAGATTCAACGTGACCATCTCTACCCCTAGGTCTGGGCATGGTCTGAGATGAGGATGCTATTTTCTATCCCAGTAAGGGGGGGGGGGGGTTCACTGCAGGAATCTAAAAAGGAAAAATTCAATCTTCTAATTATTATGAGAAGAAACTATGAGTAACCAATACTTTGTCTGTGAAAAATCCAAAATCAAGCGGATCAATCAAACCCCCTCCTGTGATGATAAGACTGTCGCGGCCTGGGGCCCAAAAGATCCAAAATCCACTGTGGTGACTAAATTAAGTTGAACAACATAACTCTCTGACCCTTGGAGGGTCATGTCCTGCAATACTTCACTTTCATGAAACCTGGCTGGGTTGCAAGTATCCTGGCTGACCTGGGATGCAGATCAACCTGTTGAATGTTGAATGAGCTAAATCAATGAAATATCAATGACCACAGACCCAGGTCTTTGGGCAACTTCAAAAAGTATCGATCCGGATTTCATGGGATATATATCACTACAAACAATACCGATTTTGCCCCAGGAAAAAATGGCAATTTGGTTGGTGGAAAATAGGTCACTTTCCTGAGCATTTTTTTACAAAATGACTCAGGAGTAAAAATTAAGCTAAAACAAGCTATTTTAGCCAAAAAATAAAAATGCCTCAAATGAGCTAAAAATTAATTTTGGAAAGTTTGAGGCGTTTTTATTTTTGGGCTAAAATAGCTCATTTTAGCCTGATTTTTACTCCTGAGTCATTTTGTAAAAAAAGCCTCAGGAAATTGAACAATTTTCCACCACTAAAATTGCCATTTTTTCCTGGGGCAAAACTGGTATTGTTTGTAGTGTATTAGCTAAGCCAGAGTCAGAAAAATGACCAAACCATACCAATGGGTCCAAGACTCCAAATTGGTTATACAGCCAAACCAAGAAATCTTACTGTCTTGGTAGGCAAAAAAACACAGTTGATAGCTTGAATGTTGGAAACAATACACCACCCTATATTCCCACTTGCAATAATAAAAGGTTAATTTTTGATTATATATATATATATATATGCTATTTTTTATTTCTCACTTCTGGGTTGTGAGAGTGAGACCATTGACATACTCATGGGAATCTTGCTATAGGATGCTCATCATGTGGTTCCCCTACTCCCCCTGTCTCATCCCCCCAGTATGCTGGCCAGCTGGGTTGCATTGGTGCTCATTGGTGCTGCCAGTGAGAATTTTGGAACCTGGACACCAGCTGTACTATTCCAACACTTCCTAATGCAGATTCTCATTTTTTTGGCAATTCCACCTACTGAGACTGCAAGCTTTCTTGGTTTGGCTATATATACTGAAACAAAGCAGAACACACATACCAGTGAGAGCCAGGTGGCATAAAATGAGCTGGTCTATATGCAATGGTTTTGACATAGATTGTACATGTGATTGGGCACTGAGCTGGGTGCATGGTGCAAACCATGCCAGTAGTGAGATGGAGACAAACGCAGAGATTGGGGTGAATGGTGGCCTAGCTAGATAGCAATTCAGTGGTGCCCTTGTTTTTGTTGATTTTTAGGCCCAGATCTCCTGCAGGAAGGTCAACAATCAAACCACATTTTGTACCAAAGAATGCCAGGGAAGATTCACACTTTTTTTTCAAGTGTCTGCTCAAGGAAAACACTTGATTTTTGGATGAATATCAATTTCCACCATTGGAAAGATCAGAGTCCCATCCCTTTTTCGGAATGTATTTGTGGGACCAACTGATATCGAATTGGTCTGGGAGACCAATCTTATATTGGCTGAGCCTGACTTGACCAGAGTCAACAGGCAAGAGTGTATTGGTTAGCCATGACACTCTTGACTACCAAAATAAGATTATGAAGTGATAATATGTATATGAGAAAAGACAGGGGGTTGTGAATGATACAACCACTTTTGCAGTGGTTATCCTGCAATTAGGACTTGAAAGCACACAACTTGATCTCTGCTAAGTAGGGACAAAAACCTTGAAAAAGATAATCTGAAAAGCAAGGTTTGAGCAACAAAACAATGCGTGCTGAAATCATGTAGTGTTAGCAAAAAGTGAACAGTTTTGGCTGCTTTCTAACAGCGGCTAAAGGGCCATAATGCCACTAAACAGTGTGTTTGTTGAAATTCTGGATCCAGGCACAACAAAAATAGAATGAGTTGGGAAGTTGGCCAAAGAAGACAGAGGTCCTTTTTGGGAAAGGTCTGCGGAAAAAGAGTGAAGAACCAATGATTTTTATTCACAAGTATCTAGCCAGGTTTATATAGACTAAATAAAAGTGTGTAAAATGTGGTCAGGAAGAAAAATGAATAAAGAAATATTTTGAATGAAAACTGAGAGGAAGAAATATATGAGTTCATGGAAGTGATTAACGGACAATCCTTCTCAATCTCTTCTAGACAAGCTAGAAAATTAATCATGAAAAAGCATCCACTCAACCACAAATGTTTGAGGCCCTGATTATAAACCAAGTTTTTGGATTTCGGCTTTTTTTATTTGAAAAGTATTTGAAAACCAAAAAGAAATCAAAAAGAAACCAAAAAGAAGTTCAAACACTTTTCAAAAACTTCTCGAATACTTTCTGCACTTATAAACCCCCCGGGCCCAGGGGCCCTGTATGAGGGCGGGGGGCAAATACAGGAGGGGAGGAACAGCGCAAACAATCCCTTGTGTGATTTGTTGGTCCCAGAGGCCGGACTTCACCAGACAGACGGATGGAAACAGTCCCTTCAAATAAGGGTTGCTTGCCGAGTGAGAAGCGACCTGGTAGTTTGTTTCTATGATGCGGTTAATGATGCTACTAAGCGCATCGGGAATTCTCAAGACTTATGGTCAATAGGACAGCATGAACTACAAGGCTCGGCAATGATTAAGACAACATCAGGCATGAAGATAGGAATTGAGAAGGGCACTAGGGGGGCCCCAGTCAATTTTGGCGGGCTGAGGAGGTTACCGGTCGATTGCTTGTGAGATTCCATATTCCGTACATATTCGTTGGCTGCAGGTGTGAGAATTTTGGCGGATGATGACAATCCGGGATGTCCGACTGGAGTGAGTTTGAGAATAGGCCTATCTGTATGACCTGATACATACCATACAGGCCAATACCAACCCAACTTGTGTATTGTTTGCAAAATTGAAGTTTTTGAGATCTCAAACCACCTCCGGAGGTGGTTTGAAAGTTTTTGAGTCAGTTTTTGAAAGAAAAAAGAAAATAAAAAGAAAAGAAAAAAAAGTTCAAATACTTTTCAAAAACTTTCAAATATATTTCGAAAAAGCGTTTATAATCAGGGCCTGAGAGTTGTTAATTCTAAACAATCAGAATTTATGAATAAACCAAATTAGAAAAAAGAAGAAGACTTTTTAGAGACATGAGTTGTTGAAAAGATCTGTAATTAGTTTCATTGACTTCAGAAGTGAATTCAGGCAACAAAAAACAAGCTACGTAAAAGCTATAATCTAGTCTAATCAGGGAGAATTCAAGAAATAATAAAAGAAGAAAAGAGGTGGGATTGTAGGGAAGAGTAGACAGATGAAATTAGAGATTGTTTGTTTGTACTTGGGTACCTGTTTATACCTAGGTACCTGTTCATTTTTCATCTTACATGACATCCCCTCCATTTAAAGAAAATTTGTTTTGCTAACATCTTGGTGATGTTTATGTGGCATCAAAACAACTTTCATACACCATGTTGCTTTTTTGAGTAATTTACATAGAAATGGGAAATTTAACTCATTCAAATAGTTAAAAGAAGGAGACAATTTTTTGAGAGTGGAATTGGTGAACAAGAGGGGACAATGCAGGTACATCTTTGCCTCAGCCATACCTAGTGACCAACTTCAACATTTGAGTAATTGCTTCAGGCAATGGCTCAGAAAAAGACCTCAAAACAATATGGGCTAGAGCACCAACTCACATGTGGGGTCAGTCCCTGTGCTTAGGTCTGGGATAAATTTGTTGCAAGTAAGTAATCAAGGGACTTGTGTAATTACATAAAGAACTTTTCATTTTTCTCCGGCAAACACAGTATACATAGCGCAAACAAGCCAACGGCCAACGCCACTTTGGTCACATTTCAATGAATCACATATGGACGACACCGGCCTGGATGTCGTCGGACGGCTGAGCAGAGTGGCTTGGCTCGATCGTTCTCGATCGTTCATATGCAAAGGCCGGGGAAAAACAAAGCCGGCGTTGATGTATGGATACATTCAACATTTGAGCAGTGTGTTCAAACTTGATGATAAAAAGCTTCTTTCCAGATCCAGCAGCCCCCAACTGTCTCCGGTCACCCCCCAAACAAAAAGTCTTGCCCTCCAACCACGATTTTCAAGCAAACACAAAAAACAAACAATCAACATGCCAAAAGTATGCTTGCAGACCTTTGCAACAATAGCCCTTATTTTTGTCTTGATTCAACTTGCAGAAGCTGAATACGGCTACCACCCGCGAAGACCACCTTTTATTCCGGCGCCGCGCTCTCGGTCAGCTCCTCCGCAACATTGCGGGAACGGCTTTGTTCAGAACCTCAAAGGGGATCCCACACCGCGTAAGTGTCAATAACCTTCGTCTCTCGGTCTGTTCGACTCACCCCCCCCCCCCCCCCTCCCTCCCCCAAACAGTGTGCACCAACTACGAGGATAAGAGGTTTAAGTGTGGCGCTGAAAGCTGTCACATATATGATGCTCAAGGAAAGCAGCAGCCATGTGAGATTCTCAAGCTTCACTCTTGATTGATTTATCTTATGAAAAAGCTGTACATACAGGGTGGATGGTGATGTCCTGACTGACTTGGCACGACATGTTCGCTTATGTTCACGATTGTTAGACTCTACTTTGACCTTTCATCACTGTCAGCGGATTGGAGACAACGGGGAGGTCAAGGCATCCGACCAAACGATCCAGCCCACCAGGTTTGAGGCCGACAACAAAGCCAAAACATTAAGTAGGCGGTCGATTTCCGTCCACCCGCAAATCGCCCGTTTCCGAGTGCTTATGGATGAGCTCCATTCCTTGTTTGATTATTAATTAGGTGCCACGGGCACCGAGACCGGCGTGCAGGGCGAAGGTTACTACAAATGCTCCTGGAACAATGACAAGGACCCCAACGCTAACAGGCCTTGTCAGTTCCACCTAAGAAAAACAAAATAAAACCTGTTGACTGACTTGTCCTTCTGAAATCCTTGTCCCAGGGTGTCACAGGTGTAATGCTATATTGTATACCTAATCTATGGTTCCATGGATCCCGTTTGTTTTACTCTGTGTCTATCCCATATCACGACCAGTGTCTGTTCCTGTGGATGACAGAGCATTTGACTTTCCAAATCAGAGTTGTGGGGTTTGGACAAGTGGTGTCAACCTGATTTCAGAGATTGATCCTTGAAAACCAAAAACTGAAGAAGAAAACAAACACACATGTTATGCTGGTCAAATGATTGATCTACATCCCTAGGAAGATAGATCAAGAGGGCAAGTGCAGAGGCCAAGATTCTCTCAAGAAATGCTTTCCTTGGTGCCCCTGGGTCTGGGCATGGTCTGAGATGAGGATGCTATTTTCTATCCCAGAAAGGGGGGGGGGGGCTCACTGCAGGAATCTAAAAAGGAAAAAGTCACTCTTCTAATTCTTGTGAGAAGAAACTATGATTAACCAATACTTTGTCTGTGAAACATTCGAAATCAAGCGGATCAACCATACCCCTCCGGTGATGATAAGACTGTCACTGCCTGGGGCCCAAAAGATCCCAAATCCACTATGGTGACTACAATAAGCTGAACAACATAACTCTCTGACCCTTGGAGGGCCATGTATTGCAATACTTCACTTTCAGGAAACCTGGCTGGGTTTCGAGTATCCTGGCTGATCTGGGATGCAGATTAACCTGTTGAATGTTGAATGAGCTGAATCAATCAAATATCAATGACCACAGACCCAGGTCTTTGGGCAAATTCAAAAAGTATCAATCCAGATTTCATGGAATATATATTAGCCAAGCCAGAGTCAGAAAAATGACCAAACCATACCAATGGTTCCAAATTGGTTTTACAGCCAAACCAAGAAAGCTTACCGTCTTGGTAGGCAAAAAAAACATGGTCGGTAGCTTGAATGTTGGAAACAATACACCACCCTGTATTCCCACTTGCAATCATAAAGGGTTTATTTTTGATTATATATATGCTATTTTTATTTCTCACTTCTGGGTTGTGAGAGTGATACCATTGACATCCTCATGGGAATCTTGGTCTAGCATGCTCATCAGGTGGTTCCCCTACTCCCCCTGTCTCATCCCCCCAGTATGTTGGCCAGCTGGGTTTCATTGGTGCTCATTGGTGCTGCCAGTGAGAATTTTGGAACCTGGACACCAGCTGTACTATTCCAAAACTTCCTAATTGTCAGCCTTAGAGCCAGCCAAGCTGGCCAAAAGACTTCCTAAGCCCCCCCTTTTCATCCATGCTCCTACTGTAACTTATTCAGCTTAAGATTTTATTAAATTCTGATTTATGAAATGAATTCCTCATGTGATTTCAACCTTAGTCACCACTACACACTTTTACACTACTCTTCTCCTTCATAGACTTTGTAATATTTCACCGCACCTTGTCAAATATCAACCAAGTTGGAATTACAACTCTCTACCACATGTACATGTTGTGATTATGTAATCCAACTCTGAAAATTCTCTCAGTGGATACTGGGTTTGCATTTTCAAGATCTTCAGACTCCAGACCAACACAGAACCACAACAATCAGAACCAGATCAAGCAAACACTTAGAGCAACTCCAGCGCAGGTGGTATATACGGGGTGGTATAAGCCGGATTTACCACCCGAGTTTCAGATTTACCACCTCAGGTCAGGCAGGTACGCCACCGCAAAGTTGTAAACCTTTGCTGAGGATTGGATGATCGAGGGATATTGGTATGTGAAAGGGTTGTACATATTGGGGTTTCACAAGCGGGATGGGTGGTTTCACACATGCGCGAGAGGTACCTGGGGTGGTACGCGAGTGGTAGATATACCACCTCAATACATTTTTTGGACAGAAAATGTTGCTTACCACCCTGTATACCACCCGTGGTGGCGGGTGTTTTGGGAGTTGGGGTGGTATATGGTGTCAGCCTGCTACTAATCAGAGCCAGCCTGAACATAGCATTTACTTATTTAGAGATATTATTACTTACATATGTACATACAATTAAAATATTAAAATACTCTATTTAAATAAGTTGAAACACTATAATAGAGACATTATTACACAATACACTTACACTGTATATATTTCATGAGAAAAACCTTTAAATAATTAAATAAACTATGAAAAATAACACTTTTAATCAGAATCTTCTAATAACTTCTGAACCTTAAGCATAACTTAGAATATTATTGCAGATTCTGAATCTACATGCAAAATAACCTAGGGTAGCTCACCAAATTTACCCCTGAATTATCACTCCTTCACTTACTTTGTAGTCCTTGAGTGATATTTGACCAAAATACACTGTAGACCCCTCCAGTTACATCATACTACATGTTGTAAGGGGGCTACATGTGTAATTAAGGTTCATGCAGTTCGGGAAAAATCTACAAACAAGGTTTACATCATTGAAACCTTAACTACATGAGCACAGACTACAGTATTAAACTGTTTGGGATGATCTGTGGCCCTTTTTGGCCCAATTGGGACAATTACTCTCTTGAAGATCAACCCATGCATCATGCAGTGCTTACATAGGCTGCAGGAGTGTTACAGTTTCGTCAGAACACCCTGTAAACATGGTTACAAGCATTACATCATCTCCTTGGCACCTGTAACCAAGCTCTACAGGTGCTACAGATGATCAAAAGCTCCCATAGGCTTAGTAGGAGAGTTGTAGCAACTAGAGAGACTCCTGAGTTCGCCTCCAGAGGCCCAGAATGGGTACTTAAGATCCCCTTCTTCCCCCTGAACTTTGTTTCCCCATCTTCATCATTACTTACCAGCATAAACCGTCACCAACACCCAGTATCAACCTGCCTTTTGGCCCTGTTCCTGCTGTTTGTAACCTGAACTTCAACCTTTCAACCCAACACCTGTTCCCCAGCTCCCTCAACATCTCTCACCCACCTTTCTGAGCGCCTCAAGAACAGTTCCCCCCTCCTGAAGACCTCCTTGGCTTAGAGATAAGTACTAGTGAGTATTATTTCTTTGATTCTTCAGTTGTAGGCTATTTCTGGGCATACTCCTTTATCACAAAGGACCAGAGCATCAGTACCACCCCTGTAACCCAGGACCTGATATTAGAGGGCACCATAAAAACCCCTGTAACTCAGGCCCCTCTGTAAATAAAAACTATTAAGTTTTTATTTACTATTTTCTTTTACTTTACACACACCTCCCCCACTTTTCACGTGTCAACCACACGTGTACACCTCTTTTTATACCTTTGCACCTAGTGTAGCTAGAAGAGTTTTGGCTCTTGGCATCACTGAGGCTGACAATTGGGGGTCTGGCCGGGAAATATCTTTATTTTCTGATACAAACCCTGGCCTTATTTTTTCTACTAAAAAATAAATAAAAACACATAAAAAATCATTTATTTTTTTCCACTGTTTTTCGAATTTTTTCCACTAAAATACCAAACCCATAAAACATATTATAAAACATAAAAAAATTCCTAAAAACATATCTTTTTACTAAAAATCATTTTTTTTCTATCTTCCTCTTAGTGAATTTGGAAGAAACCGCTAAACTAATCCAGTACTACCTTACCCTCCTTGCGTCTGAAAAAGCACAGCGCGCAGCAAATTATCAACCCTCAGACTGGGAATTACTTACCCCAGACGAACAACGCGCCAGAGCTCTCAAACGCGTAGAGATCCGTGAGGACGAAAGAATCACCAATCTGATTCTTTGGAATTCTGTCAAACGAGACCATAAAGAAAAGCGACGCCAACTCCTAGCTGAACTTCGTGAGAAAAGACTAGCCAAGAGTACGCGCTTCTCTTTTTACACCTTCTCTTAAAAACATTATCCACTTCGAAAAGAATTCTCATTAATTCTTTTCTCCTCTTCTTTCGACTAATCAGTGTCGACTACCTCAAACTCCAGCGCTGCTACTACTCCCGCCGCCGGAACCACTCCCGTTGCCGGCACCGCTGCTAATAGCCCTATTACCGGTTAGTTCTACTTAATTCGTCTCCAGGAACTATCCTTACAACTCCCACTAACTAGTACAACCTTTTACCGCTATCATGTCCACCAGGTCAAACAATCCAGACCTCCACGGCCCCTTACCCCCAGCCACTCGACCGCGGCGCGGCCAATCAGCTGGAGGAGCGCGTGAACCGCCTGAAATTGATTACGATACAGAAGAAAATGGCACCTGTGACGGTCGAGAAACCGACAGAGGTGACGTTGGCCGAGAACGGCTCAACTCCGGCCGTCGAGACTCCAGCCACGGCTCGAGCAACTCAAATCAAGGCGAATACCGCCAAGAATCCAGCGGAGAAAGCCGCGGACGCGATGGATATAGATCCACAAGCGTCGAACTCCTCGGAGGATACCCAGCAACTCCTCAAATCTCCGGAGGTCAGACTCTTGTCGAAGGAAGAGAAGATCCAACTTCTCGTCAAAGAGCACGTAGCCCTTTGGAAGAAGTTCTTAGTGGATCTACCCTTAGGCGCGTCGGAGGGCAACAGAGCACTCCTAACTCGAGCGCAAGACAGTCAACGAACTCTTCAAAAATTAATACCTCGAGCGGAGGTAGAAGAGTACGTCAAGGGTTGGAACCCCTGGACGGCGAAAAGAGACCTCTTCCCGGTTCTTCAACAGGAAAGAAGCGGGAAGAACAGGAGCTCCTCCTCCCGATCCAACTCGTACAAGGCCCCCAAGATGAACGATCCGCGTCGTTGGAAAAGGCTCATGAAAGCCTGCCACACCCTCGAGTCGGGCTACATGAACATGGAGGATTAGATTTAAAAATCCTCACTGCCATCTTAGATAGTCTTGACCTTGTAAATAAGAACCTTTTGGCGATTGATAGCAACGCCGAAAGCAATTTTAAATCGATTGTAAATAGTTTTGACCTTAACACTAGGAATAACAAGAAAGCCTCTGATTCTTTGTACAATAAATTTGATAACATGCTCAGGAATCCACTGTCTATAAACCCCGAAGCTACCAAGCTCATCGCTGAGAATACAGCTAAGAGTCAATTAGCTTGCTCCAAGTTAAGTACCGCTGTTGATAATTTAAATAATGAGCTAAATACTACAGCCGACTACATACTGTCTAACATTAGGCAGGACGCCATTGTAGCCAATAGCGCTACTAGTAGTGAGTTAGAGGTTATAAAGGATTTGCTGATACAGCAAAATATAAGAACTGAAGGTATTCAGAATACCTTGAACGAACAAATCAATACTCTCCGCAAGGAAATGAGAAATGAGATCAATATCAGCGTACAGAATTTAGCAGAACAAATCAAAGACGGTTTCTCTAATATACGCGCCGCTGAAGTACAGTCACATCCTATTGAGGATAATGAGCCGAGGTTTAATAACCCTTACATGGAAGAAAACCTAGCGCGCAATCATAAGGATGCTGCCCCTCATTTACATACTTCTCAGGACAAATCTTCGCCTACATACCATAGGAATGAGAAGGAAAAGTCTCAGTCCAAATATTATTCTATGGATTACTCTACTCTTAATAAACTATTACCCCCCATAGCTGACTGGCCCAAGTTTACGGGAGAAGAAGATTATGATCATATTAGCTTTGTTAAATATATTGATCATATATTAATGTCTTTTAATGCAGATGATGAGATTGCTATTTCTAGACTTCCCAGACTATTTGAAGGGGTAGCCCTTGAATGGTTTATTGAAAAACAAGAGACTGTTGGCAAACAATCTTGGAGTACTTGGAAGAAACTGATCAAGGCCCAGTTTGGTACCAGAGTTTGGGAACAAAAAGTCAGAAGAGCCTTTGAAGCTGATTATTTTGATCCTATGAGACATAAGCCCCACAAATGGTGTTTGCGCCAGAAAAAGAGAATAGATTGCATTTATAAAAATGCTACTAAATTAGATGTTAATGACAAAATTCTTGACCAATGTAAAGGACATTTTGAACATCAAATTAGATGTAGGCTCCCTGACATGAATGTTGATTTATCCACCCTCATTAGTGTTATGGAAGAAGTTATAGAAATGACTGGCGCTAATAGAAGACACAGAGATAACTTTTCTGATAAGAGAGAAAACCTTAATGTTTCCAAAACCTCTACTCCCAAGGATAAAGAAGTTAAGAAACCTGACCAAGCTCCAAAGAAAGCAGTGACTCCTGAATGTTATAATTGTGGGGAAAAAGGCCACAAGAGACCTGAGTGCCCAAACCCCAGGAAAAAGATTAATAATGTTCAAGTAGATCCTGAAAGTGATGAAGAAGTCTCTTCCAGGTTTGACATGATCCAAGTGGAACCTGATAACTCTGATTTTCACACAAATCACAATAGAGATGAATCTGAATATGAATCTGATTATAGGATTCAAGTTATTCAAGCTGACATTGGGGATGAATTAGAAATTAATACCATTCATGGTGATTCTAATTTACCCCAGAAATGGGATTCTTCTATGGAAATTGGCCACGTCTCTGATGCCAAACTTCTTTCAAATAAACCTGAAGCAGGCATGAGTTACACCATGGGTAAGACTAGTTATACTACAGTCATGTTCCAAGGAAAGGAATGGAAAGCCCTTTTAGATATTGGAGCTTTCTGTTCTTGCACCAGTAGTGATTTTCTTGATCTATGTTACCCTGAATGGAGAAACTACCTGTTACCTGTCCCCAAGGCTAAATTCAGTAGTTGTAATTCTTCCATGAAACCTCTAGGTGTAATTAGCATGCCTTTGATATTTCCTCACTCCAAAGGATCATTAAGGCTTAATGTGGAATTTGTTGTTTTACAGGATGCCTTATGTGAATACTTTATTCTAGGAAATGACACCTTTTGCCTGTATGGAATTGATATTTTTCAGAGTAAGAATAGATACTACACCATTGGTGGAGATTGGAAAAGGAAATTCCAAATATGCAATATAAATATTAAAATTCCTGAGCCAATTAACCAAGTATCTTGTCTTACACAGGAAGTCATTAACTTTGATAAAGAATACTTATCACAGGCAGCTGTGAGTGAAATTTTGAATAAGGATCAGAAACAGGATGTTCTAAAAATTTGTCATAAATACAAAGAGGCTTTTTGCACCACGGAAGAGCCCATAGGAAATGTGACAGGACATAATATCAAATTGGAATTGACTTGTCAACCTCCTTATCCTCCTGCTCTTAGAAGAGCCCCTTACCCTTCTAGCCCAAAATCCAGGTTAGCTTTGGAAACCCATATCAAAGAACTTTTGGATTTAAAAGTTATTAGGAAGGTGGGCCATAATGAGCAAGTTGAAATTACTACTCCTGTCATTATTGCTTGGCATAATGATAAGTCCAGGATGGTGGGGGATTTTAGAGCTTTGAATAATTACACAAAAGCTGATATTTACCCCATCCCCAGGATAGATCACTCTCTACATAACCTGTCTAAAGCCAAGTATATTACTACTATGGATGTTCTCAAAGGTTTTCACCAGATACCTATTGAACCAGAAAGTAGGAAATATATGCGCATCATTTGCCATTTGGGTGTCTATGAATACTTGAGGATGCCTTTTGGTATTAAAAATGCTCCTTCCCATTTCCAAAGAATGATGGACTCAATATTTGGGAAATTTATTCGCCAGAATTGGATGATGGTGTACATAGATGACATTATTATTTATTCTGATGATTGGGATACTCATTTAGAGAAAATTGGACTTGTTTTGGAAATGGCAGTCTCATCTGGTCTCAAAATGTCTATCAAGAAATGTCATTTTGGGTATGGAGAACTCAAAGCTTTGGGCAGAATAGTTTCTGGCTTGACTCTTGCTATTGATCAACATAGAGTAGCAGCAGTATTGCTAAAAGATATGCCTCAGAATATTACTGAAATGCAATCATTTTTAGGATTTTGTAGTTATTATAGGCAACATATCCCTAGTTTTGCCAGTATTACTCATAGCCTTTATGAAATTTGTAGTAGAAATGTAATATTTGAGATGACCCATTCCCGTGTACAAGATTATGAGAAACTCAAGCATTTGATGACTACTGCTCCAGTGTTGGCCCAGCCTGATTACACCAAGCCATTTATTTTATACATAGATGCTTGTTTGGATGGATTGGGGGCTGCCTTACACCAAGAATTCCAGATTGATGACAAACCTGTAGAGAAACCAGTTTTATTTATCTCCAGGCAAATTAAATCTAGTGAAAGGAAATATGGAGCTAGCCAAATGGAGTGCTTAGCTTTGGTTTGGTCTTTGGATAAATTACACTATTATCTAGAAGGCACTAAGGTTGTAGTGGTCACGGACTGCACAGCTGTAAAAACTCTCATGAACATGAAAACCCCTAATAGACATATGCTCAGGTGGCAGATTGCTATCCAACAGTATAGGGGACATATGACAATTGTTCATAAAGCTGGAATCAAGCATAGAAATGCTGATGGACTTAGTAGGTGGGCCTTGCCTAACACTCCTGATAACCCTGCCTGGGATCCAGAGGATGAAGATATTTTTCCTATTTTGGGTATTCATGTGTGTGACTTAGACATTGCCTTCTACAATTTAGTCCAAGACAGCTATAAGGACCATATAGAATTGATTAAGCTAGTGGACATATTGAAAAATGAGAACAGTTCACCTGAATTAATTGCCAGTCTTCCCCCAAACCTGGCCAAACCATATGCTGAAGGAAGATTTACACTCCTGGATGGTTTGTTGTATTTCAGAAATAGGCACTCTAGTGTTCTAGTACTCTGTGATCAAGCCCAGATAGATAATATCTTGTATGAATGTCATGATAATGTCAACTCTGGTCATTTTTCTGAAGACAGAACAGTAGAAAGAATTAAGCATACTGCTTGGTGGATAGACTGGAGGTCTCAAGTAGCTGACTATGTCAAATCTTGTGAAGTTTGTCAGAAGTCAAATAAGCAGACTGGTAAGAGATATGGCTTACTTCAGAAAATTGCTGAACCCACTACTAAATGGGAAATAATTAACATGGACTTTGTGACTGGCCTTCCCCCTGGAGGAGCTTATTCTTATAACTCAGTATTAGTGATTGTATACAGATATTCCAAAAGGGCTAGGTTTATCCCTAATCATAAGGATGACACTGCTATGGAAGTAGCCATGATATTCTGGAATAGGATAATGGCTGACGTGGGTATACCTAAAATTATAATCAGTGACAGAGATCTCAAATTTACCTCTGAATTTTGGAGAAATCTTCATGATACGTTGGGTACTAAATTAGCC